TTAAATTTTGTAGATTTTGCTATGAAGAAGTTCCTGATAATTAAAGAGCTTCAAAAATGCAAAAACCTATCGGATTCAGGTCATCACGACCCCAATCAAATTTTTTGTCATCAACACCTCAGCAACAAGTCGTCAAGAACTCACCAAATGTTCAGGTCATCAAGATCTCAACCATATTCAATTACAGAGCAAGCCTTCGAGGCCCTATCTGGTTCGTGAAGAGGAGTCAAAGATCATGCCATCTTATTAGAGATGAAGCCAATAGGCTCCTCAAATTGAGCTCATATCAATGTAACACCACATATTAATCTTACGCCTTCAAAAAGTATGATCTTTTTCTATAGAAATACAAAATATTGCCATTAGATAAATGCATCTTTTTCTCTTACATGACATCTCATATCATTGGAATACTATCAAAAATATGAAAAGACAATGTCTTTTTTTCCCGCTTTGCATTTTCCGGCAACGTAAGAAGCATTAGTTATTCCATCGTGAAAGCTCCATGCAAACATTGTCGTGATTCCTCTATCAAAGAATCTGATCTTTCGGTGGGCAAAATAAAATTCTTATCCTTTCCTTTACATGTTGTGGAATGTTAAGATGATACCTTCGGAATAATTCCTTCCTTCTTTTTTGCTATTGATAATCTGAACCTTATTAGAAACAAGCAACTTATATTTCCAATATTTTTTCTTTTTCTGAGTCCTAAAAGAAAAATCTTTTCTAAAAACGTATAGTAGTTCAGTTTTTGTTACACTAATCGAATCAGTTCCTCAGGTTTGTTTGGATGTTTGGTAAAGTTAGGCCAATTCAATTATCCAATGAAGATCGCACTGTAAACAATTTTTTTTTTCGTACATTAGAAGTTGCTTCTAAAAACAACATTTTCATAATATTTTCTCATATGTTGAGAACGTTTATTTCTATGGATCATACATGACATTTTATAAGAAAACAAAAAATCTAAAAGCACAAGATCATTTTTTGTTCATATTTTCAAGGAAAATAAAAACCGAAACACTTTCACGAATTGAATTGGCCTTGATTGCAACTTCCACACCATTTGCGCACCATTTGTGCAGTCAAATGGAATCAAATCGGAAGGTTTCGTGTGTGCTTTTTTTATAAAAGAATTGGAATCTTTCTTTTTTCCTCAAGTTGTAATTTGGATAGGGAAGCATGATATTTTGCACTGCACATCGACCGTCTAAAATCTCATTTCCATTTTCGCCATGCAAGCATCATGTCGCATGATTGAGTTCTCTATTGGACGGATTAAATTACGTTTAACAAGACTTCATAAGCTACGCCTCTCTTAGCAAAAGTAACTCTTTGATACATGGTGGGAATTTGCTGATAGCACCAATGTCTGATCAAATATGCAATTTCAATGAGTCTTGTATACATGTTATGCTTCTCCACATATAGCAATTTCAGCTTTGCATGGATATTCCTTAACATGGGTTCAGAGCCCCGAGCCGGTTACTTTTTGCTCCCAATTATCAATCAATCATTCCGTATGTGGACCTCATCGATAAAACACGTACATTGCTTCGTTTTTACTGTCTAACTATGGAGTTTGGTTCTTCTCTGCATAATTATTCTCCTCACAAGGAATTGATGATCACGACAGATTTAGAATCACTTGTACTGAATGACCCCAATAGAGAATCTAGTACTTATCTCATGTGACCATCTTCTTCCTCCATTAGCTTTGGAATATGAAACTTTATTCTTTACTTTTCAAAGGAGACACACTTTTAATTGGAAAAAAAAAAGAAGAAGCTCATGTCCAACGCGTGTGTGGCCCTTGGCACAATATTCGTCTAGCGAAGTAGACAAGATCAAATTGGACAAGATAAGTGTACTTGTCATAAGAATAGGTATATCGGATTGGTTGCGCCACCTCGATGCACTTAATCAATGAGCTTTTCAAATGATTTGGATTTAAACATATATGAAACTGTTCATAAATCCTCATTTGGGAAGGGAGGTCTGCATAGAAAAGAAGTATCTATACATGAGAGATCATATATTCCATGGAACCTTAATTTACTTAAAAAGAGGGGTGGAGAAAAGAAGAGAAAAGAAAAAGGAAAGACCAAAGGTGGGTTAATCATTCCCATCGTGAACAGTAAAAAGGCCAAATTATCCCTGATTAGTGCATGCTATTCAGTATATATAAGCGTTTCTCTAAATGGATTGATAGGCACCGAACATTACTGTTGATCGACATCGAACATTACTGGACGAACAACATGTCAACTCGGGTGGCAAGCGGGAGGCAAGCCGACTTTGCGAAGGATTTTGGCGTAGTCGGTGATCCTAATGACAACAAAACCAACCCAAAAGTGATAGACATGTCTCACATGGCAAGCCCTTCTCTCTCTCTCTCGAGATTCGATAATGGATATATATGAAAGATATGCTTGTTTGTGTTTAGAGTCGAGTACTTCGCGAAAAGTTCATAGAGCACTACCAGAGAAATGCCCAAATTCTTCTCTGCATCTGAACGTCCATACGTGTATATACATGTTGTGCGTGTCCTTTTTTCTACATTTGTCATGGAAGAGAGTAATTCACATTCCAAAGAGATGTGGTTGTCGATTAATTCAACCTCGAGGGAATCGTCTTCTCTTTCTCTCTCTGTTTAACTAATTTCCTATATGTTTTCTGTCCGACCAGATAGGTATATACACGAATAGCGATGCATCGTACGATTACTCGAAAATGTCATTTCAAATGGGTCGATAGCAACTTTGCTAACAAAGTTCCTCCTCCTCCTCGTACTTTGACCTCCTCGCACGTACTGATTGATGTCTCTCTGCTCATATTTCAAAACTCTGTTTGTGGCAGGAAGATCCGACTGATCGCCTAGGCCCGGGCTGCTTCATAGTCTATGCTAGGGAACTCACCATCCTCCACAGTGATAACAAAGAAAATTGGGTTTGGAAGTGGGACCGGTACTTACGAATCCTTAGAACAGCATATATGCGTATCTTTTAGCATATGGTGCACCTTGCCTTACACCACGAGTCTAATTAGGCTTTTTCATATTTTAGTAAAGCATGAGTGACATCGGACAAATGGGAACCTATGAAAGATAAAGGAAGGCAATCCATGGGATTTCTCCAGGGAAAATCTAAATAAGGAAACCATAAAAGGACAGAAATTTGTTCGAGGGTGCCAATGCAAGTCCACACAATATTGATCTTTCTTTTCTCTCTTATAATTGATAATTCTTGGAATTATTCTTTTTGGTACAATGTTGTTGATGTTTCACCCTCTTGTGCTATATGGATAAATGGCTAGGGGATAAAGTTTGTTCTACTTGAACACATTAAATGTCCGCGTGATTTCATCGACTGAACTTGAGATATAGATTTTGACTTGCATCCTGGTGTGCTCGGATCTAATCTTATCTATTTGCATAAATATTATTTCTTTGTTCTGAATGAGTTGATAATTAACCATTGAAAAATAGTAATAGTAAACTCGAAAGTCATAAATTTAGGCTTGCATATACTCCATATATTAAAGTAATACGTTTATTATAGTCCCAAATCATTGAGTCATTACTTTACTCAAACCCAAATACTTTATCGGTCCTATTGGTTCCTATATATACTTTTAGGGTAGAGGTAAATCCGTAACTCTTCGATTAATTCCCACCATCTAGGGAAAACTGTATTAATATCCCTAGCAAAGCAGGAACCGTTCTTCGGTCTTGGTATCTAAATTTTCATTTTTGCCTTCATAAGGTCGCGATAGGCCAATTAAATTAAGAGCACAAGATGACATTAATGAATAAAAGTTCAGTTTCATCTTCAAACATTGCTGTCAAAGTTAGTGAGTTCATTATCTGCTAAGAACTATATACTATGACCTATTTGATTTGTTTAAAAATTAGAAAATCAAAATTTTTTAATCTCTCTAGTCTTTTTAAATTTTAATGGTACTATTTACTTCAATTTATGGTCATAATATTGTAGTTGTAGTGTTCTCTTTTGTCCTTTTCACTTAATTGATCAAATTTAACCGAGTTATAATTTATCAAATTGTAATCTACTTGAGCTTTTCCCATATTTTCTTCTTTTCATTATAATTTTTTTTTAATTTATGAGTTGATGATAAATAAGGAGAGAGTATGATGGGTTTCTAGGGGTAGTGGGCTTTACGGTGGTTGGGAAAAATACGGAGAGAGTAGAGATCCTATTTCGTCTTTGGTGAATAAATAAATAAATACACATACGCACATATATGTATAGTCAGCCAAATTAAGAATAATGATAAAGGAGGAAGAGGAGATTGAGAGGTAAATAGGAAGAAAAGCCCGTTGAGCTTCTTTAAGAATACGCATTATTCCATGAGATATCCTTGTATTTTTATGGAGTGATAAATACTGACTTAGCTGTTATTCCTATTTATCATTTGAAGTAAAATCATTTGCTTTGCTGTTCCAGTAATTCATAATTTCATAATAAATATACCTCATCAATGTGTCCTCCAAGTTGACTTTTTTTTTAAATTTTTTTTTGTCTAACCATAATTAATAAAAACAAGTCTCGTTAACGAGTGTCCCGAGGCACTTGCTAGACGTACTTAGTATGGAATACTTTAATTTTTCAAAGTGTTGATTACTCATAACAAAGAAAAAGAGTGTATGGAAAATTGCAAACTTACCTTCTTACGGTCAAGTTTATATATTTATAATTTTCAATATGCTTTATACTTTTGTTCTCCGGTTACCCTTGACTTACAGAGTTTGTCTAATATAGATCTCTATATAGTTATAATAAAAAAATTTATCAGGTCTACTGTCAATGTAAAGAACTTTCCATACATTCATAATTGTGCAACCGAATTTTATTTACACGTCACTCATCCAATTATGAAAAAAAAATTTACACTTACAGTCGACGTAATAATTATCCTGATCAATAACGTTTAAATAAAACTACTTCAGCATTGGCCCCAGACGGGTAGAAGTGGCAGTAATGGTGGCGGAGACAGAGCTAGATGTCAGAGGGTCGTTTGAGACAAAGAAACTTATGTGTGGGGAAATGTACAAAGTCTCGTTTCTGCTGAAGACGCAAGACTGCACCATAGGGAAGGTGAACCTGGAACTGTGTCTCCCAGACGGATCAAGACTGCACTATGAGGCGCCGTTGCCCACATGGACAAATGAGTGGGAGGAACTGGAGGTTGGACGGTTTAAGATGACGGAGCAAAATGTGGGCACTATGACTTTTGTCATGTGGCAATCGTTTGTAAAACCGGCGAAAGGGCTCATCATCGGGGGCGTTGTGATCAAAGCCCGTGCCTAAGCGGGAGTGAGGCACGGGCTTTGATCACAAGCAGTTACATATGCAATAAGAGCAATTGCAGAGCAATTGCCTTCACGGAAGTGACTATGGTGATATGTGTGTATGGTCGTGCATGCGTGTTTCGTGTGCGCTTTTCTTAACTAGTAATAGTAAATAAAAAACTTGATCACCATGTGTATGAATGTCTTTCTATTTCCGGACCCTGTTGTCTTATCTATGATAATTATCTGTTTATCTGCCTATCCTAGATTACTAACCATTCACGGGAAGTAAATCAAACTGTAACTCAAACATAATTTGATTTAAACTTTTCCATCTTAATATGTAAAAGTCATTATTAATTACACACTTCACATTTAGTATCATAAAAAAAAAGGTAAAAAGAAAGGAGAAAGCGATAGTGTTTGGATCAATAGTTATCAAGAAACACCGTGCAAATTCATTGGGTAAGATTCCGACATCACAATTTTTTTGAGTTTTGTGGCTATTAAGTCGGCTCTTGGAGAAGCAGAACCTTTGATCAAGTACTGCGATTTTTCTAGAGAGACTCTGATAGAACTGTGTGCGCATTTTGATCCATTGTCAAGTTATGATTTTTTTTTTTCAGTCCAGGTTGAGTTATGGTTTTTTTTTTGGTCGGGAGAGTTATGGTTCAAAAGCCACTAATTTCATGCGATTTGACATCACAATTAGGGAGAAACGGGGTCGAAAGCTTCGAGCGCGCGGACTGCAACTCAAACCATGAACAGCCCATTTTGGACTGTGAATAGTCTATTTTCTGGGAGAAAGTATTCAATAATTGCAAAGTATCACGTGATATGCATTTTTTTGGTGAAATCCGATCATAAATTGACACATGGCAATGACATGGATAAATGTAAACAAAATTAAAAATCTATCTAGACCACACACACCGCCCGCAGCCGTGGACCTCCGTCGACCTGCCTCTGTTTTATTTTATTTATTTATGCTTTTTGAGCATCCAGTCTCCAGCAGGCATGAACCATCGACAAGCTGCCTCTATTGTATTTCTTGTTGCTTTTTGAGGCTATGGACAACAGCGTCACCAGCCATGGACGAGCCAGTCTCGCAAGCGACTCCGATGCTCTCTAAGGGTGTGCAAAACGGACCATTTGGATCGAAAACTGCCCAGATCGGAGCGAATTGGCCGATTTGGTCCACTTCTTGGGAATGTCGGTTCAGTTCCCGATTTCTAAAAGTGGAACCGGTGTCCAAGTAGTCCGGTTCCCAGTTCCACGGAGGAACCGGACCGGACCGACTATATATATTTTAATTTTTTTAAAAAATATTAGTTAAATGTGAAGTGAATCCTAAGTTCCGACAAAAAAAAAACTAAACTCTAAGTGAACTTCATCGACAAAAATTAGTAAAATATGAACTAAACCCTATGTGAACTTCATTGATATAATTTCATTGATAAAAATTAGTAAAATGTCAACTAAACCCTAAGTGAACTTCATTGACAAAAATTAGTAAGATGTGAACTAAACCCTAAGTGTTTGATAAAAAAAAAACTAAACCTTAAGTGATCGGTTCCATTAGATCGGACCGGAGCGGGAATCGATCGCCCCTAATGCTCTCCATGGTGATAATCCGATCCATGTAGTTGTACGCGAAGACCACCTGGGAGAAAGTGCCCCATGCTTGGCCAAGGAACAACGAGCCCGACCCTGTCACCTTGCACCCCACGAACGAGAACCCGGTCTCCTCCAACAAGCTCTCTCTCTCTCTCTCTCTCTCTCTCTCTCTCTCTCTCTCTCCCCACGCCGTCACAGCTCCGCAGACAGATGTCAGCCCTTGTAGAACGACAAGCCATTCCCCAATATGAAGTCCACGGACCTCTACGTGGCAGTCCCTAAAGGAATGTCTTCTGATAAGGTTGTAGACCGTGTCTTGTGACCTGATGAAACGGCATCCAACGAAGCCTATTGTGTCCGCGGAGAAGCGGAGCGCCGCCACCTGTTTCCTAGTGCTCCTGACGCGGGCAATGTGTCGCGACCCTCCTTGAGGTTCTCTCAGACTTCGAGAAAGAGTTTAGAGGTATTGCCTTAAAAGGTCAGGCTGAATAGCCTTTCGATTTTGGCGCGGGCTCTTTCAAGCCCTAATCTCACGTGACATTTGGATTTCATTTTAAGTTCTTTTTAGTCTATGGGTTCTAAGAGTTGTCACTAGCTATTTTGGGTCGGCTAGAATCCAAATGAGACAACGGAAGTTCTTGCCTTGTTTCCTGTGCAATCCGAAATTTTAATTTCAGGGACTTGATTATGCTAATGGTCTATTAGCGCCCTTCCGGTATTGCCAAATTGGTATGGTTGTTTATCTAAATGACCATTTATGAACTCTAAGGCTGCGTTTGGTCGACCGGATAAAAGCCATGATATGATATGTTTTATCCTATCCTGTGTTTGGTGGTGGTCTAGGATAGGATAAGGTCGGATATAGATCGGATATAACCCGGATAAAAAAATCCAGGGGGGGGAGGGGGTGGGATATATCTGGATAGGATTTCTAATGCTTATTTTTCTAGAAACCCAACGCTCCACTCGCCGTCATCTTCATCCCCACGTCTTGTGCGCTTTGACCAAAAAAATTTCTCGACTTTTTTTCCTTCATTGACTCCTCCGGACCCGTGAATAGCAAAAAAAAAAAAAATTATCCTATCCGACTTTAAATCCGTAGTTCACCAAACAGTGGACAGGATATGAAGAAATCCCAAGATTTCTTATCCTATCCTATCCTGTTTAGAAATCCGGACGGCCAAACGCAGCCTAAAGGTCTTAAAGCCGCTAAGTGATCATGCAAGGTACCTGCGGGAGTTTGTTATGATCCCAAGGGGTTAGCCTAATCATTCTAAAAAAAATGAACAAACAATTTATTAAAGTGCAGGAACTAAACACCCAAGTAATTGAAATGCTTCGAAAGTAAATGCGGGGATTGAAATCCGATTAGAATCGGGCAAAGAATATTACATCTCCTTGTTCTTAGGCCTCGAGACATAAGCCCCTGTAAGCTTAACCCAACATGAGTCAGGCAAAGAGAAAGAGAATTACATTGCCTTGTTCCAAGCCTCAAGATATGAACCCTTGGAAGCTTGAGATTATAGACTAAACCTATCTTAGGGGGGTAATGTGGACTATTAAAACCGAGAAATTAAGAAGTCTCGTATTTTTTCACTTGTCCTGATTCGGGGCATCAATCCGAACATAGGATACAAAGCGCGTACTTAGGTCGCTCCGAGTTTCCTCAAGGAGATAATGAGTCCACACCACCCATTCAATTATTATAGTGATGCCTAAGCTAAGTTAAGAACTACAATTCTCTTCTTTTTATATTAAGTGGTCTTTCTAACTAGACATTTTTTTTATTGGGTTAATACCACGAAAAATCCAAAATTAGTACATTTGTGACAAATTTACCTCCAACTAATTTCGAAAACTAATGGAGGTAAAATTTGTCATAGATGTACTAGTTCAGGATTTTACCCTCCATTTGTCATAGGTGTACCAGTTTGTGACTTTTCATGGTATTAATCTAATTTAACAGAAACTAACAGAGAGTAAATTTGTCATAAATGTATTAGTTTGAGATTTTTTGTAGTAAAAAAATTAGTTTGTGGTACATTTATTACGGGATGTACCATTTTGAGATTTTTTGTGGTAAAAAAAATAGTTTGGGGTAAATTTATTATAAATGTACCAGTTTTGGATTTTTGTGGTAGTAACCCTTTTTTATTTTCAAACCATGTTTATCATCACTGTTAGGCTTATCAATTGCCTAATCCTAGACCTATTAGCTAAGCTAGTTGGTTAAACTAGGCTAAGGTAAACTAAACTAATTTAACTAGACTAAACGTAATAAAAAAGTATTGCTTCAGGCTGCCACGGACTCTCGGCCACCTCCTCGGGGTGTTCGGTCGCCACCCTCGATCACCAACTTTCATTTAATCAATCACAACATGCACAAAATCAAAGCGATCAATTAAAAAGTTCACCAATCAAACAAGAGGATCAAGTTTAGGTTCGGGAATTTGTTCTCGCTCATGCGGTTCGATTGACCTGACCACCTCCTAATTAGACTAGGGGTTCATTAATCAAAGATAATGATCACTTGTGTATAGCAATGGGCTAAGACCCCTAACCTCTACCATGAATTAATATTCATGAATTAATAATTGCAATTAGGCCTATCACTCGTCTAATCGATCACATGCAAGCATAATTAAACATGCAATTAGGCCAAAAGGACTTGGGAAACAATCAATCAAGCAAGGACAAATGACCCAAGAAGGGGCACTTCTCTATTTTAATCCCCTGTTCTGACCAGTTTTTGTTTAATGAAATTGATTAGCCTGAACCAACGCTAAATTAAAGCCTAAAGAGTGTAGTCCAATGTTCATTAAGACCATTTTCCAAGATTCGGACCCGAAGTTAGCCTAATTACCCGAATGACCTGGACACCGCCCTGATTCCGATCCTATTTTCAAAAATACGGGAAAAATGGTAAAAGAATCCAAAACGACACCAAATTCGACGGGAAACTAGCCTTCTGAGTGCTCTCCAAGTTTCGTTTTATGACCTTTCACAAAAGAGCCCTTAGAGTTTGCCAAAATTAACGATTTACCCTTAAATATTAGATTCTATCAGTTTTGTAGGCCAGTCCTGACCGTGTCCAAAATTCACAAAATTGACCCCCTAGACTTTATACCCATGCCCCCAAACTTTCTAGATTATATTTTGGCTGTTTTGAGTTTTTTTTTCGAAAAAAAGGACCGAAAATTTATCAAAATTACAAAACAAAATCAGTCAATTTAAAACCGAAAATTTTGGATCAAACACCCTAGAAAAATTGTCTTTTATATCGTACCAACCAATGAATCCCAAATTTTATGAAATTCATGCCATTTAAAACATTGAACTCTTACATACAACTTTCGAGAATGAAGTTTTTCTAAATTTGGGACACAAAAATTCAGAAAAAATGAGAAACAATAGGGGGTCGGACAGACTTTCCGGAAATCTGGGTTTGCATCTTCAAACTTAGGATTATGAACATTTAACCTATATTCAACCATGTTCAATCACTTTCAACCTCAAACCCAGAAAATATAGGTCATATTCAAGCCTTCAAATGAAGGCGCAAGAATAAAATGAACACACATTCATCAAAATGGCCCTAAACATTCATTCAACCATCAAGATCACCTACGAATCATCACAAAAACACTCCTAATCAAGATGACTCTATCATATGAACATCTAGAGGCCAAATAACATTAAAATGCACATCAAACCCTAATCCTAAGGTCATGACCAGCAACCATTACCCAGATTCGATTTCGAATTTCTTCGCATTCTAGTTCAAGATTGGGCACAGATTGAAGAATATTCTTCAACTTCAAACTGTACCCGTCGTAACGTCCTTGAGCGGTCACGAGAGATTGGTTATGCAAATGAAGAAACCTAGTAATCGAGATTCCGGAGGACCGGGAGGAAAATGATCGAAATGGGGGCTTTCGGTGGGGCTTGCGGACCGGAGAGAGAGAGAGAGAGAGAGAGAGTGGCGGCTGCTATATTCTCCCTATGGTTATGTGTGAGGAAGAAGGAGCAACAGCAGACGAAAGAAAATAGATGCGATGGGTGATGAAAAGGAATTTGGAGATTTCTTTTCTCTTTGAGCTTCTAATTTTTTTTTTTGAATTTGAGGTTTTAATTGTTTCCCTGAACACTTTAAGGGTTTTCAATGTGTTTCAATATGCTCAATCTTTTAAAATACTGTCCAAACTAGAAAGATATCCAAATCTAAAAGATCTGAAATATTCGGTTCATTTTGGATTGTTTGATTTGGGCCGGTCACCTACAATTATATAATGAGATTAATTTTACCTACAATTCATGCTTGCAATATACAATCCACCAAAGAGAAAGGTGGTTAAAACAAATTCCTTTCAACTCTCTTTAGGGACCCTGGATCAGGAGAGACTCAATTTCACATTAGCTCTATAACAGTGCTACGGAAACAAAAACCCACACGTATCATGTGCGTTGTGCAGAGCTCGAACCATGGTTGAGCTCGGGATCCCACGCTGGCGCGAAGGTGGGGATAGTGCGTCGATTGGTGGTGGGCGATGGCGAACATGGCTGTTGGTTTGGGTTTGGGTTATTATGTACCTTGGATTTATTGGGTAGTGATGATTTTATTTTATTTTATTTATCAGAAGCAGAAGGGTAATGGTGATTGGTGGGTAGGCTTTTAGGTGGTTTTTATTTAATAAAAGGGCAAATGAGCGTTTTAAGTTTTAACTAGATGTACAGATCACAAATCTAAAAGTGAAGATGTAAATCGAAATGAACAGATTTTGAAATTTTTTGGAGTAGTTATCGATTGAGCGCGGAATAATGTGACATTATACGTACCTTTATTTTCCCCTTCACCACCGACCGACTATTTTTTTTTTTTTTTACTTCCACATCAATTAAAGAAAAAGGGATTTCATATGTCATTTTGTCTGGCTGAGGCTACATTTGTTTAGCATTTTACGACTCTTCATCATTGCTTTGCTACCCATAAAGGCCAATTTTCCCTTCATTTCATTTGTATCCGCCGGAACTCTTATTCTTTTTTGCCTATCGGTTGTTATTATATAGGGATAAATATATTTAAAGTTCTAAAACTTGTCATGAAAGTGCTATTGAGTCCTAAATCTTTCAAAAAATGCAATTAAGTCATAATCTTCTCACAAAAATGCAATTGAGTTCAAAAACTTTCAAAAGGTACAATCAAGTTTTAAAATTTGTTAAATTGATCAAATCAAGTCTTTTCGTGGATTGTACTTTTTAAAAATTTTAGGACTCGGTTGCACTTTTGTAACAAATTTTAGAACTGGATTGCACTTTCATGACAAAATTTTAGGACTGGATTGTCCTATGGAGTCCTAAAACTTTCCAAAAATGTAATTAAGTCCTAAGCTTGTCACAAAAATACAATTAAGTCTAAAAACTTTCAAAAGATGCAATCAAGTCCTAAAACTTGTTAAATTTGTCCAATCAAATCAATCCGTTAATTGTGCTTTTTTAAAGTTTTAGTGACAAATTTTAAAACTTGATTGCACTTTCATGACAAAATTTTAGGCTCGATTATACTTTCGCGACAAGTTTAAATCGTCCTGAATTTTTCACCAGGGGGCAAAAAATCAGAAATGTTTTCCGTTGTCGTAAAGGACTTGAACCCGGGTCTCTCAGATGAGAGCCGAGTATCCTAACTAACTAGACTACAGCGGATTTGTTCTTCCTACGTCAACTAAATTAGTATACCATAGGGAGTGCAAGTGGGAGCGAAGCGTGGTGGGAGCCGTTCAAGAGGCAGCGTCTGATTAAAGCCCTCGCCCTCCGCTCGGTGCTCACCCTCCTCCTGTCCGTTGCAAACGCTCGTCTGACATTTCCGACCGTCTCTGAGCAGAAGATAAACGCCAAGAACAGACCCACCTCGCTCTCTCTAATCGCAGTCTGGGTAGGGGCACTCTGTTTCTTCTTGAATCGATTTCGCTTCTTCGTTCCTCGGACCAAATGGGTTTTTAGTTTTTCTTTTGCCCTGTGTTTTCTTGATTGTTGCGGCTAACCAGCGTGAACCAAGCTAGCTCAGTTCATGGCTGCTTCTGAGTTTTGCTCGTTGGTTAAAGACTCGTCACGAAATGAACGTGGTTTTATTTGAGCTGGGAATTCCTTATTTTTTCGGCTTTCGGTATTTTCTTGGACCGATGCACTGCGAAAGAAGAGCGAGACCCGCTAAAGTGGCGGATTTTCTTGGCCCTCTGAGGTCATTGACATCGATCTTGTCCTTGAGCTGTGATTGTTGAGGATTTCCATGATCCCTCGGGATAGAACATTGGGTGTGTGTGCTGCAAAAATGCAAGTTATTCAGTCTGCACAAAGCTAGATTTTTAGTGTATTCTTTAGGCATAGTTTGGGTGCAGCATATGATCATTGTAGAGAATTTGATGAATGAGAAGTCCATGATGCTTGGTGCCGTCAGGTCAACACTTTCTTTGTAAAGTGCAATTGGTGTAAATGGATGATGTTAACGGACAATCCCTATGACTTGAGAGTGTCATGGGAAGGCCATTTCTTGACTGTCCATATAAAAATGGCTAAATGAAGGTGATGCGGTATTTTGTGATTTAGGTACTGTTAATGAGTTCAGCGAAACGTCGCGCTACTCATTTTGCAAAATTGATCCTGCTAATTACATGCATTCTGAATTTGAACTTTGCAGACTGATCGCCGGTAACTAACAAACTGAATCAAAGATGACTGTCTCCGGATTAACTCTTGGTCCGTCAAAATGTTTCTCGATACCTGCTCGAGGTGGCAATTCTTTATCTGTAGAATTCCCAGCCTTTATCTATATTGCAAGGCCTAAAGGAATGTTCGCGTCCCTGCATGGAGGAAGGTATTGCTCCTTCGAGGATATTCTCATGGTTATTGAAAATGAACCGTTCGGTTCTTTGCAATTTTCTCACCTTATTTATTTAATTTTTTCATTGAAATTTGCAGCAGACATCAAGCTCTAGTGATCCAGTCTGTGATGGATGCTTCTTAAAGCGATCCCACTGGTATCAAATGCTTTATCCTTTGTGATTCTTACAAACAGAAAGTTTATTGTTGGAGGTTTTCTTCTCTCTCATTCTAGAGCTATTGGAATATTAAGGTGTAAGTTTGACAGAAGCAAAAAAGTTTCTCAGAAACACAATTTTGGAAAAGCTTGTGAAAGCTGGTGACTATTGTTAAAACAGAGGTGTACTTTGAAGTGATTAGAAGATCATATGAGTAACTTTTCGTTCCTTACAGTACCTAATATTTTATGTCCTAGTCTTATTGTTTGCATTTTTTCAAAATGAATTAGGCAATGAGCTACTTCAAGAAAGCAAGATATATGCCCACTTTACTACCGTCTTTACTTGAAGCTCTCATACATGTTGGCATTCTTTTATTCCTTATGGTGGAATTTGCATTGGGGAACATTTTCCAGGGCATTTGTTCGTCATACTATGTGTTTTCTGATATTTGAGGTGTACCCTTTCCTGAGTTCTGTCGAGCTATGGAGTCAAGGCATTACAGAATAAAAGCATGAAATGTGTAAATCTTATTTCATGGTTATCAACCTAATATGAGCGTGCCATTGAACTCCCGTGCAGAATGCAGATTATGATGGTTGTTCACCATGTCAACCGCATAGGACTAATAGGTCATTCTGAAAGGACCTATAGTACTTAAAACCGTTTTGTATTTGCCTGTTAAAAGGCTGATTTTCACGGTGATTTAATTGGTGATTTGTCATAGCTAAAAAAAGTTTATTTTATCAAGAAAAATTTGAGCTAATTAATGACGCGATATGTCGTTTTGTTCTCCACATTACTTCATCCTATTTTACCGGCCTCTTCAGGTTCGACCATCTTTCCTAGAATAAATGTAAGGGACCTGTATAAGCGGCTTGGAATCAGTAAAGAGGCCTCCAAAGATGAAATTCAAGCCGCAAGGAATTTCCTCGTCCAAAAATATGTGGGACACAAGCCCAGTTTGGATGCAATTGAATCTGCGCATGACAAAATAATCATGCAGAAGTTCTACGAGAGGAGGAACTCGAAAATTGATGTCAAGAAAAAGGTCAGGGAAGTAACTCAATCCCGCGCCGTGCAGGCTGTCATGAGCAGGTTTCAGACTCCGTCCTCAAAGTTCATCATAAAAACAGCTACCGCATTTTTAGTACTTGGACTTCTCACTCTTCAAGTAGCCATAATATCCCTCATAGCTACCATATACTTAATACATGATCGGCTGAAAAGCAAACTGCGAGCTTTCCTCTGTGGGTGCGTAGATGACATACTATTAGTGTTCGTCATCGATTTCAGTCGATGACTCTCTCTAGCTATTTATTTATTATAAATCGGTGTGTTCCTGGCCTGATAGTTGTTTAGCTCATTCCTCGCTATATAACCGTTCTTGTCAATCTAACTGCCCCATATGTTGAGTACTTGCAATGGATGAGTTGGATTCATGATTTGTTTCCATATGCAGGGCCGGTGCCTTCATTTTGTCATGGCTACTGGGGACATTCTTGATGGTGTCCATAATACCACCTTTGTTTAAAGGACTGCGCGGTTTTGAAGTAACAACTTCACTTATAACCTACATTCTGCTCTGGGTTTCTTCTACTTACCTGAAGTAGGAAATTTGGTGACCTTCGAGAAGACCCCAATTTTGGTTGAAAGTGGCCTGATATGAGAGTGTTCTTGGTTTCTTCATTCTCCAATTTCATGATGCCTCTTGATGGTAATCATGTATCCATTGACAGTGCGAGCCTCCTTCATTTCTAACATTTGTTCAATGAAAATGCTGGTCTAGGATCAACAATTTCTAGATGGCTGTTTTATTGTTTGGAAAAGGAAAAAGTTGTGAAAATGAACTATAGTGACCTTTTTTTGACTATGGTAAGTTTTTCAGTGACCAAAAATAAAAAAAAAAGACCGGTAAGTTTTTGCATTCCATTCTTCTGAAACTCATCTTTGTGGAGCATGATATCATGCGAGCAATGATGTTTGACGTTGTGGTATGCATCGATGGAAGTTGCAGCTTCATAAAATTTCTTGTGGGGCTTACTGAGAAGTAATTGAAGTCGACTAATGGTAGGGATATTTGTTAAAAAAATAAAAATAGGTTTACAAATTATGTGACCATCTGAAAGTGATTAATTAAGTATGTTCTATTCACATACCCAATACCATTGTTAATACCTTTGTCATTATTGGGTAAAGTTTCTGCGAAACAAGTGTTCCGTTGAAAATGCAAATTTTTGCTATTAGTAGTTTCTAAGGTGGGCTTTTATAAAACCCAAAGTCTCATTGGGTGATTTTCTTATCGTTAGTTTTTCTTAATTGATGTTACCAAGGTACTTGCAACGCTCAACTCAAATTCTTCTACCAGAATCAAAAGAACCTTGCCAGAGAATGTGAAGGGAACTGGGGGTAATTTGCTCCTTCATGTGAAGGTGAACTCACTCAATCGACTCGGACTTGGCATAAACACACGTGCAGGCGTATCTGATGAACCGTCATAACATATGCTTATAAAGTGGTTGAACTGAAGATCGGTTCGAATGCTAATCCACATAACTGCAATAAAATCAACAAGAGCAGAAGAGTCGTCTTTCCATACTCTTAACCTGATATGATGCTAGTCTTTCATATTGGAAGATGTCAAAGCATTTCCAGCTTGGGAAATTAGCCCTCATGGGGCACAAACGATTTGTTTTAGACACTAGTATCAGAAACGGGAAAATTACCAAAAAAGTCCTAAACCTTTTGTAGTTGTGCCAATTCAATCTTAAACATTTTTTTTTCGGTCAATTCAGTCCTAAACCTTTTGCAAACCAGCCAATTCAGCCCTTTTGGCCGGCCGGTGCTGACGTGGTTGCCGGCCGGCTGACGTGGCGCCGGCCAGCGTCCACGTGGTAATATTTTAATATTTTTTTTTATTATTTTCGAATTTTTTTTCCTTTTTTCTTTTCCTTCTCCCCCCTGGCCTGTCCGGCCAGGGGGGAGGCTCGCCGGCGAGGGCCCAGCTCCGGCGAGGCGAGCTGGGCCCTCGCCGCCACTGGGCGAGCCTCGCCCAGCTCCAGCGAGGCGGAGCTCGCCATGGCTGGGCGAGGGCGGAGCTCCGCCTTGCCAGATCTAGGCGAGGGGGGGAGAAGGAAAAGAAAAAAAAAAGAAAAAAGGAAAAAATTCGAAAATAATAAAAATAATATTAAAATATTGTCACGTGGACGCCGGCCGGCACCACGTCAGCCGGCCGGTGGCCACGTCAGCGCCGGCCGGCCAAAAGGACTGAATTGGTTGGTTTGCAAAAGGTTTAGGGCTGAATTGGTAAAAAAAAAAGGTTTAGGACTGAATTAGCACGACTGCAAAAGGTTTAGGACTTTTTTGGTAATTTTCCCTATCAGAAACGGTCAAAGAAAGCAGACTTCTGTGTACTTCATCGCATCAGATGAATGGCAACATTTTAAAGAAGGGAAGATGGAAGTAAGCATATTGACCCGGAATATAATCAAAATGAGTTACTACAGCCATTTTACATCGTTGGAGTATTTATTCTATATTTACAGGTCAAGGAATTGACAGAACAATTACAGGGGCAAAGCAATGGCAAATTATTGCAATTGTCGATTCACACCAAGTCCTGGATAGACAAGTGCAGCTAAGCATGATTAGGATGAGCGTTACAGTACCCTTGATAAATTAGAATTAAGCATCTCCTGAAAAGTTTATCATGATATCACAGTTAGGCAGAGAACCACCTCCCAAATTCACGTTCACCATGAGCATGTACTTCAGATAGAGCTCCTACCACTATTTTGGCATTCAGACAGCCACAAGTCTATGTTTTCTGTGATCTGTTGCCTTACTTTGTGGACCACATCTGGGGAGCTGCAGTTCTGGGCATTGCCTGAAAGAAGCATGACACTCGGACAATGTAAACTTCGAAAATTTTCTTTACTAGAGACAAAAGTGTTTGAATTGCACAGGATATTTGCTTTTCCTAAACTGCAAAAACACGTTCAAACAGAAGTCATACTAATTAAGCTGGCAAGGGTTAATGTCAATGTCAACTCCACCAGAAGCTAAGTGGCCAGTGGCTGGGAAAACTTTAGCAGGAGATGATATCAAGGGTTCAATCCTCACTAATCATTGCTCAGTTGCCACGCCAGGAGGAGAAACTCAACTGCACACACACTATTCTTGAGACTAGGACTACCTGTTCTCAACAATTCCATTATATTTCTTATTTTTAAATAATTCACTTAGTGCAGCACTTCATTTTCATCTTCTCCTTCTGCTCATCTCTTCTAATATCAGGAGACGGCAAACACTTATTTTTGCTTTGTATTTTTCATTTCAAATTTTGTCTTTGTAAGGGGGGAAAATCATGAGTTTATTAAAGAAAATAATCATATCTTGAAACCGTCAGGACCAGCAGAAGAAGAGCCAAAATGAGAATAAAATAGGCTTGGCACGCAGCAATATCAGCAAATTATTCATGCAAGAATCAAACTGAAATTTCCATTTTCCACAGTGACAACATTCAGTTCTGCTGCGCATTCACCACTGGAAAATGCAAGTCTCCCAATGAACCAGCATACAGCAGCTGCAACCATGAATATTTCGTAACTTTATGCAGCATGTAAGTAGATCCAAGCCGTCCATTCCTTCAAGGCTCAGAGGAGACTGTGGGCACCCTCGCATATCAGTTCCATGTCCGCAATTATGACAGGAGATGAGGTAGGCCTCAGGCGGGCGAGGTTGGCCTCGCCAGTTGCCAGCGAGGGCTCGGCCCCGATGGCCGCTGGTGAGGTTGACCCTCGCCCGCCCAGCCCAGGTGAGGGCGGCCCTCGCCCGACGCAGGCGAGGGCGACCCTGGCCCGACCCCAGGTCGCCCTCACCGGCGTCGGGCGAGAGCAGCCTCTGCCTGCTCCGGCTGGGGCTGGCGGTAGGGAGAGAAGAAAAAAAAAAGAAAAGGAAAAGACAAAAACAAAAAAAGGAAAAAAATAAAAATAAAATAACGGAACAGTAACTTTTTTGCCAATCGGTGAACATTCTACTGGCCGGCAAAGTCAAGCCACTTATTTGAAACTAATTGAGCACTTTGGGCCCTTATTTAAAATTGATTGGACACTTCAGATCTTTATTTGACACTATATCCATTTTGGGTACCAACTTGAGAAAACGCTTTCAAAATTTTCTCTTATTTTTTTATCGACCAAAAGAAATAATATTGTTTTTTAACATTTTTTTGTTCTTTTCGAATATCTTCTTTTTTTCTTTCGGCCGCAAGTATTATTGCACGGGCTCCAATATTCAATCGGATTCTCCACTCCCGCCACGTGCTCGTTTATTGGGTTGGGGGAGGTCGCGAGTGGGGCCCACTTCGAAGGATTTTGTCCCGACACGATTGCTTAGAAAACGTGACCCCCAACCCCGCCACGCCCTTGGGATTTGTGAGACAGATTCGTGCGAAAAAGAATCTCTTACCTAGTAAAGCAGTTCCCTTCTTGAACTCTATCCGCTGACCTAGGCATGTTCAGATAAGACTATTTGCGAGTGGAGAATTTAATAATCTTTTCATGTTGGGTGGGCTTGGGCAGGGATCTTTAGATCCAAGGCGTTAAGCTCAAATCGCCCATATCTATATTGGGGATGCATAGTAGAAATTCGAAGCATTCAATAAAAAATATCACTAAGGTTGCGTTTGATTCAGCATTTGGAATGCTGAACTCAAATTTTTACCCCCAAACTACCCTCAATTATTTTGACTTATTACGATTTTGCCTCTATTGTTACTATTCATCTTCTTTGCGAGGCGGCCGGCGAGGGAGGCTGGCGTCGGATCGGGCCGGCAAGAGACTGGCGGCTGTCGCCCTAGGCCGGGCGACCCTCGACGAGGGTCGCGGGACCAGGCGGCCATTGCCTAGGTCACGCGAACTCAGGCGGCGGTCACCTGGGTCGCGCGACCTAGGCGACGGCCGCTTGAGTTGCGCGACCCTCGCTGAGGGTCGTCCAGCCTCGGGGGACGACCTCCGGCACGATCCGACGCTGACCGCCCTCGCCGGCCTCTCTCGTCGGCCACCTCGCGAAGGAAATGAACAGTAACAAAAAGGCTTCGGCGAAGGGTAAGTTAGGGTTTTTTTTTATTTCCAAAGCCCTTTTGCAAAAAAAATTTGCCAAACACTACTTGGAACAAAGTAACTTTATAAAGAATTTTTTACTAAATACTATATGTATTTTCCCAAGGGGCTTTACAATAAAAGTATTTGCATTCCCCTAAGTAGCATATTCAAAGTTGAACCAAACGCATCCTAAAAGGTAGCTCAGGTCTAAACCTATTAACATATCTAGTTTAAGTTAATAAGTTATGGGTCAACTAGAAATTATGATATATTTTTCTTGAGGTATTCACCAAACATTGAAATAAATTGGGGTAGGTGTCAACCATCGGTCTCGCAACAGATTGGGATTGGAGCATCAATCAACGATCGGCTTTGATACCATATGTTGGCAGTGTGCCAAGGGGGAGCCCAAGTTCAAATTCATCAATATATTCAATTGGACCCATTTTCACTTAAAAACTTAAATTAATGAATTCTGGGCCAACTAAGATATATCAGTTGCTCTACACTACACCAATTCTCTAATGCGAGACTTCCTTAATACAATCCACACGTGTATCTCAACATCCTGCTCATTAATTGAGCATGCCCGCTGCCGCCAACTTCTCCCGTTGCTTTGATCTCTTGCAATCGTGGAGTGAGCGATGCTCTCACCTCATCTATAAGAATCTCCTTCATTTATTAAGGACCCAACGTCGTGAATACGGCATAAGTGATCACTAGACGAGCTTGGATACACTTGCTCCAGGCGACGGTGAAAACGGCATGCCCGAATGATCCAGCTAGGGTTCGCCAAGGTTGGGGCTGAAGTCACCATTCCTAAAGCTCACTCGCCATTATCTGCAAAATTACTTCAATTGTTATGTATAATCGTATCAGCTTGATTAGGAGCGGAGTCTATGGAGCAGAGTCATTTCTCAAACTCACCCAATTTTAGTCCTTTTCACTACCGTGGTCGGCTCCATTAGGGAATAACTTTGCCAAGCTTGTTTCAAGTGATGGGCGGGCAGATTGCTCCACATCCACGGGATGGTATCGTGGGGGAGAAGTTGATTCATCATAAAGGTTATAAGAATTGACTCTTCATAATCGCTTTCGCCTCCTAATTTGAACGAACAAAAGAAAGCGATTAATACTGAAAAACGGAGATGCCCGGTAAATTTCTAATACTGAAAATGTTACCTGAGCGCATTTGTGGCTACAAATTCATGAGATTGCGAAATAATCAATGGTCGATCCATGACTACCAGTGATAAGAGAGTTGCAATTGACAAGAAACATTTGTTGTTATGAACATTATGTGAAGTTAGCTCTTATTAGAGTGTGTGATTCAATCAGAAGGCCCCTAATCTCGAGATGTTCGAATCCGTCCCGAGGATGGTTTGACCCAACGGTAATTGGTTAACCTCTCGATATATCCAAAAGTAAAAGAATAATCAGAGAATAGCTCATGAAAATATTTTAGACTCGATGTCCGTAATAATTCGGATTTTGGAAGGTCTCGATAGAAATGTGTTGGGATTTTGGCTTTTGAAATAAATTGGGTTACCAAGTTAATAAGGTCAAAATAATAAAATAATAACAAAATCAAAATAACAATTCTGAAAACATCTAATAGCGAGTATATAAAAAAAAATTCGTAATGACTCTACCACGAGCAACGATAATGCGTCCATAATGAGATCTTCCCTTTATGATATGTAGACACCAGCCGATATTGGATATATGAAATCAATCTAATGTATACATTTTTTTGGTCAAATAATCTAATATATTTAAAAATTATACATTTATCATGAAACGAGATCGCTTGTAAAAGCAAATTCTCTGCATTATTATTATCGTTGTTTGCGTTTCTACTGGAGGAATTTTATAATAAATGGCACGGTCTATGCTTTCCACTAACCCTTTATTTTCTTATACCTTATAAGTGAGGTGGGTCATAATTTTGACTTTGAATGAACCTTTTTACCAAAAAGTGGCTTTTTTTTTTTCTATTGAAAAGCGAGATGGACAAATGGAGAAGTTAAGGGATCATTAGTCAAAAGAGCCTATTACAGAGTGACAAGGAACTTGAAGCTGGCTTCATTGGACACGACCAACGCGTACAGCTAGTTTGCTACGATTGGGCACATCGCATTAAATTGCGTATGTAGAATGGAACCTATTTTCTACTCGATGCCCGACGATTGATGTTTAGACATATCATCCTTAAAGAGTTCTCTTATTGAATATATTCACTTAAAAGCACAGAAACGTTGATTAGTCAGATCTTTGGCTCGATTGATTCCACGAATGTACGAGAAGCTTTCCGTTCATGTGAAATGTAGAATAAGATTACCCCGTAACCGATACGGCTTTACCTTTGCTTGCAATATTCAATCCGCACCGAGCTAATTATGATGCGTACGAAGTGGAAATTTGATAACGACGTAGAGATATAACCCTATTGAAGTAAGGTATGCGCCAACTCAAAATGACAAGTCTCTACACACGTAATCTTCATTTGGTGCATTAAATTGTCGCTGATAAAGAAAGAAACTAGAGGGAGAGATACATAGCTCTCACATTGATGGGGAACAAGCAGTTGTTGACGAAACCAATGTTGAGGTTGATGTCTTGTATTCTATTATCTAAGAGATTATAAGGCGGTTCCGAAAGGCCCCCTGACGACTGGACAGCCTGGGGGTCCCGCTCCCCGGTGAGCGGGAGGAGGTCGCGGGGGCAGCGCTCCCGGGCCGCCAGAGGTGTTTTATGTTCAGTCATAAAAGGATTTATATGGGA